CGATGGTTTGAGAGAGGAGTAAAGGAGGCCATCTTTGTGAAAAGAAACCGTCCATCATTAAACAGGGGTGGAGCCTCCGGGTTCAACTGTCCCCCTCTTACAATGCTGTTATTGCTAGTATCACTCAGCCCTCTGTGAACAGTAAACAGCCATCGGTGTGCTAATGATCCATTGTTAGGCTGATGGTCCTTCTTGAGCATGTGAGCAGCACATCAATCTCGAAACTTATCTTTCTGTCCAAAATTCTGAAGAAAATAGTTTTTGTTCAATTAAATGAGTTTTTGAATGAGAACAGAATTTTCAAAATTGTTCAGTTTGGGTTTAAGCAACTTCACTGCATCGAAACAGCATTAGTGAGGGTTTGTAATGATATTCTGGTATCAAATAATTCTTGTCAATTTGTGATATTTGTGCTCCTGGACCTTACTGCTGCTTTTGATACTGTTGACCACAGTATCCTTATATTGTGGTTGGAACAGAGGGTTGTGGTTACAGGTGCTGCATTAGAATGGTTCTGCTCATACCTGAGTGACAAGAGTTTTTGTGTCGAGATTGGTAATAATGTATCTGCGTCAATGCCTCTTTCCTGCGAGGTCTCACAGGGCTTAATTCTTGGACTCCTTTTGTACTCACTCTATTTGCTCCCACTAGAGTCCATCCTGAGGAAACATGGTATTTCATTCCATTGTTATGCTGATGATTGTCAGATTTACCTGCCTTTGAAACCAGCAAGTGCTTGCTCCATTCACTCTTTCCTAAAATGTCTGGAAGACATTAAGGCATGGATGGCTTCCAATTTCTAAAGTGTTGACGATCAGAAGACTGAAGTCATTGTCTTTAGCTCTATCTCAACTGCCTGTTGATCCTGTCAACCTGGACTCCCTTCAGCCATATCTTAAGCAGTCTGTTCAATTCAATTCAATTCAGTTTATTTATATAGCGCCAACTCACAACAAAGTTGTCTCAGGGCACTTTACAGGAACATTCACATAAAAGCCCATTAGTAAAGTTCGCTATAAGGAGGCCAGCAGACAAGTTGAATCTTGGCTTTGTTGCAGTCTCCCATCCTGAGCAAGCACACTGCTAAAAATCTTGGGATAGTTTTAGACTCAGACTTCAAGTTTGACAAAAAAATCAACTCTGTTCTGCAGAAAATCTTCCAATTAGGGCAGGTAGCTAAGCTCAAGCCAGTGTTTTCCAGACCCGACCTTGAGAAACTAGTCCATGCCTTTATCACAACCCGCTTGCACTATTGCAATGCACTCTGTCAGCTGGACCTCCATTTCACGTCTTCAGCTCGTCCAGAATGCTGTTGCTCGGCTTTTAACTGGAACTCGTAGGTCTGAGCATATTACACCAGTTCTGTCCTCCCTTCACTGGCTCCCTTTTCGTACTAGGATAGACTTTAAAATTCTTCTGTGACTAAATAGCCTCACATCCCTTTATCTCTCTGAGCTTCTGGAACCTTACGTTCCCTCTCGGGCCCTGAGATCATCCGATCAGCTGCTTTTGGCTGTTCCAAAAACAAGACTGAAGCTCAGAGGTTAATGGGCATTTTCAGTCATGGACCCCAAACTCTGGAGCAATGTGCCCCCCAACATTAAGCAGGCCACCTCCCTTCCTGTGTTCAAATTTCTGATACAACACATCTGTTTTCTCTGGCATTTCACACAGTGTGAGTTGATTTAGTATTTTTTGTTCTATATTCCTATCTTTTTAATGCTTTTAATTAATTATTCAGTATTATCATTAGTGTGTGTTATTTTTTCATTAATTTTACTCCCATTGATGTTATCGTTATTCACTTTGATAACATCTTCTGTGTTAAATGTGCTCTATAAATAAAGTTGACTTGACTCGACCAGGTTGGGATTTGCCCTTGGTTCTCAAAACTCTGTGCCACCCTCCATTCGAGCCCTTGATGCAAGTGGACCTGAAGTGGCTCTCATGTAAGACAGCCTTTTTGTTTGCTATTGTCTCAGCTAGGAGTGTCGGCGAGCTACATGCTCTTTCCATCAGCCCTTCATGTCTCAGATGGGGCCCTGATGGCTCTGGTTTTACCTTGTGGTCGAACACTGCATTCGTACCTAAGGTGTCATCTCATTTTCATTGTAACTAGCCATGGAGGCTGGCACGTTTTCAGCCTACGCCAGGAGGGACTGACGATAGGTCTGGGTTATTGTGCCCAGTGAGGGTACTGGAGGCATACATTGCGGCTATTGCTGCTGTAAGACATTCAGACCATCTGTTCTTGTGTTATGGAGGCCCTAGGCTGGGTTGTTCTCCTCCTTCCAAGCAACGTCTCTCCCACTGGATTGGGTATGCCATTTTCCATGCCTACACCGCGGATGTGGCTTCTTGCTGGTTGGTGTGAGGGCACACTCTACCAGGAGCGTCTCCGTTTCCTGGGCAGCCTTGAGAGGGGTTGCACTGGATGCCATATGTGCTGCTGCAGCATGGGCTTCCCCAAGCACATTCACCATGTTCTTCAATGTCAACATGGCTACCCCTCATCCTCTGGGCCAGGTTCTTCTGCAAGGGTCCTCTGGGCTTCTCAGTGAGGTATGTGCTCAGGATTCTTTGTGACATCGCTGGTATTAGTCATTCAGTGCTTTCAGCTCTGCCCTCTGGTAGTCAGTAGGGGTGAAACGGATCGAAAGTTATGTATGTAACTATGGTTCTTTGGATCTCGGATGACCGCCAGAGCTTCTCTGTCACTCAGAATCCTTGCATTCTGTGAGATGATTCTGTAGGAGTAGAGATGCAGATAACACCAGGCTATATGGCCCCTGGTTAATCATTCGACTTGTCACAGCTGTGACTTTTTTGATATTACTACTCGAACGGCACATGCGTGCGGGGAATATTCAGTGCTTTCAGCATCACCCTCTGGCAGTCATCAGGGATTCATAGAACCATAGTTACATACATAACTTACATTTTATTTCTGCCAACAAAATAAACTGTAAACAGGACAACAGTAGTGTGTTGAGTCTGCATTTATTATAAATAATCCTGAATTGTTTTGATCAGTTGCTCAAGTTCAAGTCAGATTTATGCAACAAGTCACAAGGTCGTTTTGTCCATGTCTCTGATCCTGCCTGATCTGTTTGAAACCATCTGCAGGTCACAGAAGAAGTGTGCCACTGCTGGTCAGGTCTGGTGTCTCTGGGCTACAGGTGTCGTACGTGAGTGAGGAGAAGCTGCTGTTTCCGGAGCTCGTCACTATCATGAGGAGGTGTGTCCTTAATTGGGACTGAGGGAAGTGCACTGCCTGTCTGTGATGTGTCACCCAAGAAGTTCATTATTGCCCACTGCTGAAAAGTGGATGATCTTTTTTACATTCATGTGTCGTCAAAAGAGCTCATGAACTACTCTGTAGAATTTAATGAAACTCTGAAAGTGATCATTAGACATACAGCTGCAAGTGACAAACTTTTGGAGTCTGTTTAATTCAAGATTGCTTCCACAGCTGTTGGACATGAGCCAACACAAAAACTCAGTGGCACTTACAGATATTAAGCTAACACACAGCACATACTTTTAAGTGAGGGATCTCACACTATTTCATGAGATTGTGCAAAAAGTTGTTTTTAAGGCTTAACCAAAATGGCTACAACTCTACTCCATCATTTTATGGTCATGAGACGCTTTGAGTTGAAAACTGGCATGAAAGGTGGTGGGAGATATACATTCCTTCAAGAAATATTAAGCTTTACTGCAGAGTAGTTTTGGTTATGAGCTGCATTTTAAAGTGTTTTCATCAGCTAAGTATCAGATTAAGTGTTTACAGGTGAACCTTGGTTCTGACGCAGCTCTGTTCTGCCAGGTTTGACCCAGACATCCTAGTGGGTTATGAGGTGCAGATGCATTCCTGGGGCTACCTTCTCCAGCGGGCCGCAGTGCTCGGATCGGACCTGTGCCAGCAGCTGTCTCGAGTACCAGGTACCACCAGGAAACACCACAGCAGCTCTCCTTCCTCAGCTCAGGACAAATTAAAGCTACTGAAGCTGCAAATATTTTTACCAGAGCAACTTCTTATCGTTCAGTCTGCATGCAGGAGTTGAGCGGAAAAGAAAATATTGCTTTATAACATGCAGTGTCCAACCAGAATCAAATCACTGCTAGCATTCTGCTCAAAACATCAATTACAAATGGTTTGGCCAAAATGGCTCGAGGTATGTTTCACCTCATCAATTCAATTCAATTCAAAACTACTTTATTAATCCCAGAGGTAAATTAAATGATGTTGTAACTCATCATCCTGGTTTAATTAAAGAGTTGTTCTAGATGCTGATGCTGTGGGCAGGAAGGATCTCTTGTAGCTTCTGTCCTACAACAGATCTGAAGAAGCCTCTGACTGAAGACACTCTGTTGTTGTATGACAGTCTGTTGTTGTATGACAGTCTGTTGTTGTATGACAGTCTGTTGTTGTATGACAGTCTGATGAAGAGGATGCTGAGGGTTGTCTATAATGTTCTTCATTTGATGAAGAATCCTTCTTTGTACAATCATCTCCAAAGGTTCTAAAGGAGTCCCCAGAACTGAGCCAGCCTTCTTTATCAGAGTCAGAGTTTCTTTATTGTCATTCGCACCTCGTGGTACATGTGGTGGAGTGAAATTATGTACACAGGGTCCCAGTTACATCCAACAATAAAATGTATAAGAAAAACAGTAATAACATCTAAGATATGAACTAAGAAAAACATCAACTAAATATACACTAAGCACTCATAACATAAAACATTGAACATCAGCACAAACATGAACATGAGTCTGTGAGCAGATGTGCACGCATGAACACATCAACATTGAAAGAGATCAGCAGCAACATGAAACAGATCAGCAGCAACATGATATGGTTTTTCACAGTGATTATTCTAGTTAGAGATTCATGAGTCTAACAGCCTCAGGGTAGAAGCTGTTCCTCAGTCTAGTGGTTCTACACTTAATGCTCCTCAACCTCCTTCCTGAGGGGAGTGGGGCAAAAAGTGTGTGTGCTGGGTGAGTGAGGTCCTTCATGATGCAGGTGGCCCTCTTCCTGCATCTGGAGGTGTAGATGTCTGTGATGGTGGGGAGACTGATTCCAACAGATTTCTGTGCAGCCTTCACCACTCTCTGCAAAGCTTTTCTTTCTGCAGCTGTGCAGCCTCCATGCCACACGTTGATGCTGGAGCACAGGATGCTCTCCACTGCACACCTGTAGAAGGAGGTGAGGACTGAGCTTCCCAGACCAGCTCGTCTCAGCCGCCTGAGGAAATAGAGTCTCTGATGAGCTTGTTGATCTTTTTGAAGTCACTTGCTCTGGTGCTGCTCCCCCAGCAGATGATGGCAGAAGAGACAGCGCTCTCTACAACAGACTTATAGAAGATATGCAGCATCTTGCTGCAAACACTGAAGGACTTCAGCTTCCTCAAGAAGTACAGTCTGCTCTGTCCCTTCTTGTAGACGCTTCACTGTTGCATTTCCAGTCCAGTCTACTGTCCAGGTGAACCCCAAGGTATTTATACTTCTCCACCACCTCCACTTCTTCTCCCATGATGGAAATAGAGTTGAACCTGTTCCTGATTCTCCTGAACTCTACAATCATCTCCTTTGTTTTGTTCACATTCAAGATGAGATGATTGATTCCACACCATGCCACAAAGCGGTCCACCAGTTCCCTGTACTCAGCTTCTTGTCCATCTCTGATACACCCGACCACTGCAGAGTCATCAGAATATTTCTGCAGATGACAGGAGTCTGTTTTGTACTGGAAATCTGAGGTGTACAGGGTGAAAAGAAATGGTGAGAGTACAGGCCCCTGTGGTGCTCCTGAGTTACTGACCACCTGGTCAGACACACAACCCTTCAGTCTCACAAACTGTGGTCTGTTTGTCAGGTAGTCTTTGATCCAGGTGATTGTTGAGGCCTCCACCTGAGTCTTCTGGAGTTTCTGACAAAGCAAATCAGGCTGGATTGTGTTAAATGCACTGGAGAAATCAGAGAACATGACTCTCACAGTGCTGTCTGCCTTTTCTAGATGACAGTGAGTTTGCTGAAGGTATCTTCAACTCCAACTCCACGCTGATAAGCAAACTGCTGTGGGTCCTGATATGTGCTTGTTTGTCTAGTCAGGTGGGTCAGCAGAAGTCTCTCTAGGACCTTCATGATGTGGGATGTCAGGGCAACAGGTCTATAGTCATTGAGGACTGATGGGTGAGTTTTCTTTGGCACTGGAACAAGACAGGATGTTTTCCACAACACTGGAACCTTCTCCTGGGTCAGGCTAAGGTTGAAGAGGTGCTGCAGAACCCCACAGAGATGCTCTGCACAGACCTTCAGGACTCTGGAACTGACACCATCTGGACCTGCAGCCTTATTCCGGTTCAGTCTCTCCAGCTGCTTCCTCACCTGACTTCTGGAGACGCAGAGGGGGGAGGCAAAGGAGGTATCATCATCTTCTGATTTGGTTGAAGACCAACATGTAGAAGAAGGGTCCATGAATGAGGTGGTAGAAACAGTATTTGAGGTGTGACAGGACAGCCTTGGGTCAGTGGAGGGTGGTATGTATGTTTGGCTGTGGGCAAGAGAGGAGGATGCTGAGCTTGTTCCTGAACTGAACCTATTGAAGAATGTGTTCAGTTCATTGGCTCTGTCCAGGCTTCCATCCTTCTGATCCTCCTTCTGCTTGAAGCCTGTGATCCGTTTCATCCCTGACCACACCTCTCTGATATTGTTCTGTTGGAGTTTGCTCTCCAGCTTCTTCTTGTACACCTCCTTGCTGTTTCTTATCTTGACTTTTAGTTGCTTCTGTGTACTCTTCAATAATTCCCTGTCTCCCTCCCTGAAGGCTCTTTTTTTTCTGGTTTAGCAGTTCCTTCAGGTCAGTGGTGATCCAGGGTTTGTTATTGGAGAAGCATCTCACTGTTCTGGTGGGGATGGTGTTGTTTACACAGAAGTTTATATAGTCGGTCACACACTCAGTCATGGCATTGATTTCCTCTCCATGTGGCTGGCACAGTGCATCCCAGTCTGTAGCCTCAAAACAACCCCGCAGGGCTTCTTCAGCTTCCGTTGACCATTTTCTCACTGTTCTCTTTATTGCAGGTTGCCTCTGAACAAGGGGTCTATATTTAGAGCAGAGAAACACAAGATTGTGATCTGATTTGCCAAGAGGGGGTCTTGCTTTAGCGATGTATGAATCCTTGACATTTGCATAAAACAAGTCCAGCGTTTTGTTTTCTCTGGTAGAGCAGCTGACAAACTGTTGGAATGTCGGAAGTGTAGCAGAGAGAGAGTCATGATTAAAATCCCCAGATATTGCAACAAACGCACTAGGGTGTTGTGTCTGTAGCTTAGCAACCTCAGAGCTGATGACATCACACGCAGTCTTGGCAACAGCATTGGGTTGAATGTAAACAGTTGCCAAAATAACACTGGTGAACTCTCTTGGCAAATAATATGGACGACAGATTACTGCTAACAGCTCAATATCTGGACTGCAGAGACGACACTTCACAGTAACATGTCCAGGATTACACATCTGTTGTTCACAAGCACTGCCAACCCACCTCCTTTCCTTTTGCAACTCCTCTTTAAATCTCTATCTGCTCGTATGGTCAGAAAGCCTGGCAAGGAAACGCTGGAGTCAGGGATATGATCCTGCAGCCATGTCTCAGTGAAACACATAACACTGCATTCCCGATGCTCTGGATGAGTCCTTGTTAGGGCTTGAAGTTCATCCAACTTGTTTCCCAGCGATCTCACATTGCCCATCATGATCGATGGAAGAGATGGTTTGAACTTCGTTCTTCTCTCTTTTTCCCTCTTCTTTGCTCCTGCTCTGCATCCACAAAGCCTCCTTTTCAACTCATTTGGGACATTAGGCTGTAGTTGAGATATTTTTTGAGATTTGGAGATGTTAATCAGCTGCTCCCGGTTGTAAAAAAAAAACAACCTTGTTGTTATGGTTACGCATCATAACAAATGTCCAAAAGTAAAGATATTTCTGTAAAAATCCTTCCAGCTGCACAGCATCTGACACCAGAGGAAATAATCATCCAAAAAAGGTGATTTATATCCAGAAAAAAGAGGAATTAAAGTTTTCAAAAGTAACATCTCAGAATGAAAGTAAGAGCTACTCCAACATGCAGCCACCTTAAACGGCGCAATTCTATAACAGAATTGCGAATAGAATAGAATAGAATCATAAGGCGATCTTAGTTTAAACCTCCGGCATGAAAGGTGGCATGGGATGTGCAGTCTTTCAACGAATGTTAATAATAAATAATATACAATTTCGTAATTTCTGGACTATTGAGCGCACCCAAATATAAGCCATGCCCACTAAATTTAAAAAGAAAATAAATTTTGTACTTACCATATTTTCCACTGTACACGTCGCACCGCACTATAAGTCGCATCTATTATGCATCACCGCTGACGCGTCTCATTTGTTACGCGTCACCGCTGACAACCTAGAAATGTGGGCTGGTTTTGTGCCAAAAATTGATTGGCTGCCAAATGGCAGCCGCCGGAGCGTGCACGGGAGGACTTTTAACAAGAATTTAACAAGATTAACACTTAAAAACAATTATTTGTTTGCTCGAAATTATAGCAAAGGTGTGTCTTAGTTTAACTTTTGCTTAATAAATGCACTTTGTCGGTCAAATCAGCTGCATTTGAAAAGCCGATACACAGAAGTAGGCACGTACAGAGGGACGAGTCACTAGGGCTGGGTATCATTCAAAAATGTTCGATATCTGTACCGATACCTTCACTTGGATATCGGTTGCTGAACGGTACTTCTTTCGGTACCAATTTTATAATTAACATAAGTTCTAAGAAGAATAAAATTACGTTACACATTACAGTACAAATTGTGAGTTTTATTTTTTAACTTTGGTATTTTTCTATTCCAAGCAGTTTTCTTACATAAAAACAAACAAATAATTTCCAGTTCAAAAGACCAGTTACAAACCAGTGACACGTCAGTGTCTAATGTTCACTGCTACACACCGAGGACCTTTTCACTGAACAGTTTTTCTTCAGAAACATCAACATGTCTGTTTTCTCTGGACACAAACAAGATGCTCCTGGCTGATGGTGTCTCCAGCAGTAGAACATGTTCACTCTGAGGCTGTAGATGATGATTGTTGCACACACAGATACCTGGTTGTCAGTTTGACAGCACCAA